AATTATTTTCAACAAAGAATTCAGGTCACAACAAAATTCAAACAATCTCCACCTTAATCCGAATTCCACTACAATGAATAAACTTTAAAAAATTCTCCACCTGAAGACAAATTCCATTACAAGGAATTAACTTGAACTTTTCGATTAAAATACAAAAAAATTCTCTATCAAAATTTTCAACTGAAAATATTATCCACCTCTGGCACCCCAACTAGGGGCAAAATTGACTTAATGATTATCAGTAAGGTTGAAACAAGCCTTGTAACAGAATCACAATTGAATGCATTAAGAGCAAGTTCTTTGCTAGAAAAAAATTATTAACCGGATTCAAACCAACAACTAAATCAACATAATTGTACACATGGAATCTTATGGCCAAAAATAGATATGTTACTAGCAACTGAATACAATAAAACCGTTAATAATGGTGGCAAGACGGATTTATCTATAACTTCTAAATTCAACTGAGATGCATTCTTTAAAAAATACCTTAAATTAGACTCCAATGATATGGAATCTTAACTCCAAATTTACCTGAGTTCTTAAAATATGCTGATTGCTCAAAAATTATGTATAACACTACAAGATATATAAATGAGATTTTCTATGTCCCTTTAATAAAACATTAATAACTTTCAAGATTCTACATTCAAAGGTGCATTTATACTCTTTTGAATCAAGAGTACTTAAAAAAATAAGATTTCTCCTCAGATCTAGAACGTGTCTCACTGCATCAAATGTTTAAACCGTCCTATCAAATATCTTTATTCTGACCAGGCCTATACCAACTATTCAACAATATGTATTATTACTGGTCATCATAACCCCTTTGAAACTTTTTCATATATTGAAAACAAATCCCGATGGTGACACATGTGAAAAGTACAAACTGTATCAAGAATCCAAGTCTCGTCAGATTTGGACTTATAGTCAGACATAAGTAAAAGCTCTTCATCACTATTGATATTTTTTTACAACACTTGCTTTCCCTGAAATTTCTGATTATTGATTTACAATCAATTTTGATTTATTCTACAATTTATAATAATCATTTATCAAGTACCCATTTTTCTTGTAATAATTACAA